TCCTTCGCCCCCCTCCCTCCTTCGCCCCCTCCCTCATCCATGGCTCAATTGCTCCCCGCCACCCCGGCCCTGGACGGCGACCCGGACCTCGAGCGTGAGGTCGACCTCATCCAGAAGACCACCGAGAAGCAGCTCGCCTCGGTCCACGGCCTGCACAACTCGCTCGTCAAGAAGTTCCGCAAGTCCGAGGCCCAGTCGGCCGCCCTGCTCGCCGAGAACCACTCCCTGGAGAAGAAGAACGCCCACCTCGTCGCCCAGCTCGGCCGCGCAAACGACGACATCCGCCACCTCTCCATCCGCGAGGACCGCCTCAACGACGCCGAGGCCTCGCTCGCCCAGAGCAACAAGGCCGTCGTCGCCGCAGAGCTCGCCCTCAAGAAGGAGACCGCCAACCGCGACGCCGTCGCCGCAGAGAGGGACGCCCTCCACAGCGAACTCGACACCCTCAAGACCCGCCTCGACACCGTCTCCCGCGACCTCGCCGAGAATAAGGACCTCGCCGATAAGGAACGCGCAGACCTCAAGTCCCAGGTCGAGCAGCGCAACCTCAACCTCGCCGCCGTCACCGTCGAGCGCGATGAGAGGGACAAGGAGAAGCTCGCCCTGGAGACCGCCGTCGCCGACAAGGAGGCCGAGCTGGCCGACCTCAACCACCGCGCTGCCGCCGTCACCGCAGACTTGGAGAAGACTAAGGCCGAGGCCGAGGCCGAAATCGCCGCCCTCACCGCCACCCGCGAGAAGCTCACCTCCGAGAAGGACGTCGTCGATCGCGACTTCGCCGCCCTGCAGACGGACCGCGACGCCGTCGTCCACGACAAGGACTCGCTCGCCGAGGAGATGGCCGCCGTCACCGCCGCCAAGCTCGCCCTGCAGACCAAGGCCGACGACGCAGAGAAGGGCCTCGCCGAGACCCGCGAGTCGCTCGCCATCCTGGAGAAGGAGCACCAGCAGGTCACGGCCCAGCTGGAGGAGAAGGCCGCCCAAGTCGCCACCCTCACCGAATCCGTCGCCACCCTCACCAAGGAGCGCGACCAGCTCACCGTCAGCCGCGACGAGCTGCAGGCGCGCCACGACGCCGCCGCGCAGGACGTCGCCGACATGCAAGCCGAGCTGGACTCGCGCACTGCCGCCTTCGAGAGCGACCGCGCACTGCTCGTCACAGAGAAGACCACCCTGGAGAAGGACTTCTCCGAGACGCGCGACCGCTCGCTCGCCCTGGAGAACGACAAGGCCCAGGTCGACACCCGCGTCCAAGCGCTCGAGGCAGAGGAGGCCCGCCTCAAGCAGAACGTCGACACCCTCATTGCTGAGCGCGACGCCCTCGTCGTCGAGCACCGCAGGGAGATGACTGAACAGCTCGCAAAGACAGAGCAGGAGATCGAACTCAGCCACGCGGAGCTCCGCAAGGAGCTCGACGACGTCGTCGACAGGCACGCCGCCCTTCGCAGGGCTGAGATGGAGCGCGAAGCTGCTGCTGCTGCTGCTGCTGCTTCTGCTGCCACTGCCGCCACCGCGGCGGCCGCCGCTCCCGTCACCGCGGCGGAGCCGCCCGCGACGAGGAGCCTTGGCGTGGACGATGGAAACATCGATCAGGACGCCCCCGCACCGGCGGTCGTCGCGCCGGTCACGGGTGCCACCGCACTTGGCGCCACTGCCGACGACGAGATCGACCCGTCGATCGTCATGCACTCCCCGGCGACGGAGGCGACGAGGGAGATGCCTGTTGTCAATGGCACCGCTCCGGACGCTCTCCCGGTCGTGGACGAGGCCGACGCCTTTGCCATGGGCGAGGCTGGCGACGACGACGACGACATTCCCGAACCCAGTGCCATCGACCGCGCCAGGGGCCTCGAGGCACCCACGGAGATGCCCGCGGCGCCCGTTGTCCCTACTGTCACTGAAGAGGTCGATGTCGACCAGAGCGGCGGTGGCACCATGGTGATGGTGCGTGAGGAAGACGATGATGATGATGATGAGGACGAGGAAATTGTCGTGGAACCTCCTGTACACACGACTCTTGTGGAAGATATCGACGAGAGCAAGGACATGGGACCTGGCGAGGGCAATACCGCGGGGGTGGTGTCAGAAACTGTCGTCACTGAAGAAGTTGTTGATGACGTCCGCGACAACGATGACGCCGTCGAGGAAGTCGAGGACGAAGTCCCCGTCCCTGATGCCGAAGCCGCAGATGCTCGCAAAGAATTCGCGGTGGGCACCGCTGTGAAGGGTGCCACAGACACTGCCACCGGGACTGCCGTTGCCGCTGGCACAGCTGCCATTGCCACCGGCGCGACAGTTGGCAACAAGGCGGCCGATACGGCTGCCGGGGGCACTGATATGGCCAAGGACGCCGCGACTGGGGTTAAGAACGCCGTAAAGTTCACCACTGACAAGGGAACAGGTGCGGCAAGTGCGACTACGAGCGCGACCAAGGATGGGAGCACATCCGCGGCCGACAAGGCCAAGGATGTAGCTGGAACTATCAAGGGCGGCGTTGAGAAAGGAGCTTCGACAGCCACTGACAGTACCAAGGATGCCGCTACGGGTGTCAAGGATGCCGCCACCAAGGGCGCTACTGCCGCCAAGGACGCTGGAGCTGCTGCCGCTGACAAGACGAAGAAGGCTACCGGATTCGTGTCCAAGTTTCTGTGTTGCACAGGCGAACCAGCAACTCAAAGCTAGGACTTCATGTTAAGGAAATGTCGGCATCCCCCGTCTTTTTTTTTTCGGTAGAAGGGATACATTCTATCTTGTAGAGATATCGCTATTCGGGGCCCGGCGGCGGGTCGTTGGATTTCTTCCACTGCAATTCCGTCTGGGGTCTTTGGGGTCCTCTGGTTGTCAGCGACCCCTCAACTCGTGCGTGCCATTGTCTTGCCCACCTCGGGTTTCTTTGACGGAAATCGCCTCTTTTTTTCCGTAGGCAGAGGTGCTGGCAAGTTTTTAGGTTTTATGATCATCCAAATATGTTGGAATGAATTAGGTAAAAAGTGACGAGTCTGCTGTAGCCAGGTCTTTCGTCTATCAAATGTATCCGTGAAATCTCTTGTCTTTGGTTTCGTTGTATTGACTATGCGTGGGTTAGGGTGAAGTGGTTCAGCGTGTTTGGTTTTGACACGATTACCAGGATTTCGAACAAATTCATCAGTACAGTGTCCCACAGTTGGTTTTACGTTGCACCGCATAACGTCAGCAATACAGTAGATTACTCGTCGTTGATGGTTCCATTCTTAGTGACGTAGCGATACGTTTGTGCACACGTAAGGGCACTGGAATTTGGGATTTGGGATTTGAGCTATGAATAGCTGGAGCACACGGCGTCGCGGGATGTGCGTATGTGACCGACATATCGGTAAGCACAACTTTAGTTGCCATGTTCCATTGCCCCGCATCGCTGTGGCATCAGAGTTGGCGAAGACTTGCGACTCTTCTTTACAGCACAGCACTTTCCTTGTTGCTGCGATTTCATTGATTCGTATGAGCGGAAGATGGATGATGGTGGATGGCAATTTCTCACAATTCATCTCACAATTCAAGGCACCGGTCGCCTACGTCCACGATGGTGACATCATTCGGACGCTTGTCATGGCGACGAGTGCAGGGTAGACTCGTTGGGGAATGATCGGCGGGCACCTTACACGTCAGCGCAGTCAGTGGGGTTGCGTGCAGAGCGGGGGGCTGGACGTGTAGATGTGCAGTTGCAGTGCGAGAGGAGAAGGTCTGTGATGTTTGTTTACGAAGCGCGGGGGACACATACAAAAAAAAGAAAAAAAGGGTGGCTATTGCTTATTGATGCTTGGACTTTTCTGGAACGGCGGGTTCCGCGGGGTGGTTGGACTTGGTGGTCTTTTTCTTCTTCTTGTTTGTGAGCAAGAAGTGCATGAAGAGGACGATGAGGGAGAGCATATACCAGAGCAAGCCCCTGGCCAGAATGGGGGGAAAGTCGCAGCTGGACGTGTCCTGAATGTAGCCGACGTAGACGCTCTGGACGCAGAAGCAGCAGAACTGGAAAATCTGTGCCTTTGTGATGTAGTACTTCCACCAGGGGGAGTAGCCAAACGAGGCAAGCAAGTAGTAGCTGTACATGAGGACGTGGATGTAGCTATTACCCGCGAGGGAAAAGTAGGCGTCCGAGCCGGGCAGGAGCCACAGGATGGCGAACCAGTACGAGAGAATAGTAACATGGTGATACACGTGCAAGAACGAGACCTGTCGCAAGCGGCCCTCGAAGACCATGAAGACGGTGTCGAGAAACTCGATGACCTTCGAGTAGGTGAAGATCCACACGAGCTGTGCCATCTCGACGCCGGCCACGCCCTGCGCGAGAGGGACGCAAAACAGCGAGTCGTTGCTCGCGCGCGCGAGCAGGATGCTCTTGGTGCCCATGTACGCCGACAGGGCGACCATGAAGGCGTTGTACACGCGCATGACGGGCTTGAGCTTGACGGCGAAGCCCGCGGCGCGGAACAGCGGGGCGCACACGACGACAAACGCCAGGT